CCGTCGTCGTCGACAACACCAACCCTGACCCTGAATCGCGGCAAAGGCCAGTCTGGGCACTGGGATGGCACTGGGATGGCACTGGGATGGCACTGGGAGGGCACTGGGACACTTCCTGGGGTTTTGGGCACCCCCCTGACCCGCCCTGCTCCCCCAGGTTCGTGTCCTGCGCCCGGGAGGCTGCGGTGCCGTGTCGGTGCCTCCAGTTCACGGCGAGCCTGGAGCTGGCGCGGCACAACTGCAGGGTGAGGAGGGGTCTGAGGGGGTCCTGATCCTCCTCCCGAGGGTGAGGATGAACCCTCAGCACTCCCTGAACCCTTTTCTTTGGGTTTTCATCCCAAAATAGTTCCGGGATATGACGCAGAGTGGCCACGTCCCCGTCACTGACGCTGTTCTGTTCAGCTACAAGTGAGAGGGGACTGGGTTTGGGGGGGTCTGGAGTGATTTGGGTGTGTCTGGGGGGACCCAGGGAGAATTTTGGGGGAACTGAAGCGTTTTGGGGATCCCTGGGGAAAGATCTGGAGGGGATTTGGGAGATCTGAGAGGAATTTTGGGGCATCTGAAGTGTTTTGGGAGCTCTGTAGGGATGGTTTAGAGAGGCTTTGGGGGGGTGGGGGGAATTTGGGGCTGGTTTGGGTTTTTTTGCTTTTTTCCCCATTATTTAGCCCCATTACTCATTTTTGTTCCATTTTCCCTATTTTTGCCTTTTTCCCAGTATTGGGGGTTCTCCCCTATTCTATTCTTTCTCATTTTGGGTGCGCTTTTACCTTTTCCTCTTTCTCCCCTTTTTTCTCCTATCTTGGGTGGATTTGTCCCATTTTTGCTGCATTTTCCCCCATCTGGAGCTGTTGCTCCTCCCACTTTACCCAAATCCAGGTGATTTTCCCCCATTTCCTCCCCTTTAGGAAACAATTTGTGGCTCCCGACCTCTCTGAAGGCTTCTCCCAAATTCTCCAGATCCCCTTTGTGCCCCATTTTGGGGACCCCCCAGACCCCCAACGAAGGCGCCTCTTCTTCCAGTTCAGCGATGGATGAAGACCCCCACTGAACCCCCAAATAAAGGCACTGCTCCTCCCCTAATTTTTGGGAGATTTTTGGCTCTAAATCAGATTTATTGTACAAAGTGGGGAAGGGGCAGCGGGGGGGTCACGGCGTTTCCATGGATTCACCCTCTGTGGAGAGAACGGGGAGATGGGCTGGGTCAGTGTCCCCAAATCCCCAGTTTACCCCTTTACCCCAGTTCCTTTTTTTCCCATTTTATCTGATTTCCATCCCATTTCCACTTATTTTTGTCTCAATCCCATAATTTTATTAACTTGGCTATTTTTATGTGATTTTCCTAATTTTCACCAATTTCTCCCAATTTCACTGCTTTGCAACCAATTTTTTCCCTATCTCTCCCCTTTTTATCCAATTCCTGGCCAATTTCTCCCCTTATTTTTGCCCAAGTTTCCTCCTTTCTCCCATAGTTCTTAGTTTTGCGTTTAATTCTGATTTTTAACCCGCTCTTACTCAACTTGCTCTGTTTGCCCCAATTCCTTAACTTCTATCTCTTTCTCCCTCATGTACACAATTTCCCCATTTTTTACTACATTTCTCACATTTTGCCCCATTTGCTACATTTTTGCCCCTTTTTGTCCTGATTTTCCCATCCATTTTTACCTTTTTTTTTTTTTTTTACCAAAATTCCATCAATTTTTACCATTTTTCTCCTCCTGTTTTGCCCAAATCTCTTGATTTTTCCTTCATTCCTTCCACTTCATTTCCATTAATTCATTTCCACTCCCTATCCCCTAATTTTTGGCCGTTTACCACAATTTTCTCCTGTTTTTACACCTCCCTGCTCCCCCTCCATGTTGCACCACGTTACCCACCCTTGTTTTGGAGACCCCCAGGTGTCCCCCCCAGTGTCCCCAGAGGCTCACGGAGCTCGTTGAACAGAAAAGCCTCCTGGTACTCCCTCATGTACTGCGTGGAGCGCGACTCGTCCAGGAACAGGGAATAAACTCGTTTGATGTCCTCCACGCCCACCTCCGCGCCCTGCCAGGACACCAACATCAGCAGCAACCCAGAATATTTCACCTCACACTTCCCACTCTCTTTTCCAGCTTGTCATTCTTTTCCCCCTCACATTTCCTGCCTTTTTTCCTCTCCTCATGTTTCCCGCCCTTTCCTCCCCTCATGTTTCCTTTTTTCCCCCCGTCACATTTCCCACCCTTTTCCCCTCACATTTCCTTCTTTTTCTCCCCTCACCTTTCCCATCCATTTCCCTCTTCTACCCTTTTCCCGTTTCCCGCCATTTTCTCCCCTCTCATGTTTCCTTTTTTTCCCCTCATGTTTCCCACCATTTTCTCCCCTCACGTTTCCTGCCCTTTTCTCCCCTCACATTTCCCACCCGTTTTCCCCTTCTAAACCCCTTTCCCCCTCATACTTCCCACCCTTTTCTCCCCTCACGTTTCCTTTTTCCCCCTCATATTTCCTGCCCTTTTCTCCCCTCATGTTTCCCACTTTCCCCCCAAGTTTCCTGCTCGTTTCTCCCGTTTCCTGCTTTTTCCCCTCATGTTTCTCCCTCATGTTTTCTGCCCTTTTCTCCCCTCACGTTTCCTTTTTCTCCCCTCATCTTTCCTGCTCTTTTTCCCCTCACATTTCCCACTCTTTTCTCCCCTCACGTTTCCTTTTTTTCCCCTCATGTTTCCCTCCCTTTTCCCCAAGGTTTCCCACCCTTTTCTCCCATCAGGTTTCCCGCTCTTTTTCCCCTCACAATTCCCGCCCTTTTCTCACCTCATGTTTCCCGCCCTTTTTTCCCCTCATGTTTCCCTCCCTATTCTCCCCTCACATTTCCCACCCTTTCCCCAAACCTCATGTCTGACCCAAACCATCAGGAGCACCCCAAATCCACACTGACCCTCCCACTCCTCCCATGTCACCACAAACCTCCCCCAGAGACCCCCAAACCTCCCTCAGCACCTCGTGTCTAAGCCCCTCAATGCTGCCCCATCAATTTGGGCTCCCACACCACCTCCTGACGCCAGTTTTTGGATCCCATTCCCCAGATTTTGGGGTGTCCTCGGGATTTGGGGTGCCCACCTTGCGTTTCCTGGCCACCAGGCTGGCGGCGGTGATGAGCTGCATGGCGTAGCGCAGCGACGTCTCCAGCCCGATGCGGGTCAGCACCGCGTACGCATCCTCCGTCATCTCCACGTCCTCCTCCTCACACCTGCGCCCCCAAACCAGTCAGGGGGACCCCAAAATGGCCGAGGGATCCCCTAAAAAGGGGTAGGGGGGACCCAAAAAGGGCCTGGGGGCACCCCAACGGGGTTATGGGGTACCCAGGGGGGATGATGAGGACCCAGGTTGGCAACTGGGGTGTCCTTAAGGGGTTGGGGGGCAACTTGTGGGGATTAGGGCTGTCCCAGAGGAGGTTTTGGGGTGTCTGAGGGAACTCTGAGGAGGTAAAGTGACACCTGAAAAGAACTATGGGGCACCCCAGGAGGCTTTTGGGGTGACAAGGATTTTGGGGATAACCTGCAGAGGATTATTGGGCGCCCCAAGTGTGTTGAGGAACATCAGCCATGTTTAAGATTCAGGGCATTTTTGGTGTCCAGGTGGGTTTCAGAGTTCAGGTTGATTTTGGGGGTGTCATAGATGATTTTTGGTGTTCCCACCCTATTTTGAAGATCTTCTGGGTCTCTTTCTCCCCATAAAAGCTGTGATGATTCTTTTTGGGGTGCCCAGGTGTGTCAGGGTGTGGTTTGGGCTGTGTCAAGGAGGATTTAGGGGTGCCCAGGTGTATTTTCGGGGTGTCCCACCGGATTTTGAGGATCTGCCGTGTCTCCTTGTCGCCGTATGGGGCCGTGGCGATGATCAGCAGCCGGTCCAGCAGATCCAACGGGAGCCCGTGGGGGCTGCGGTGGGCAGTGCCTCGAATCCTGAGGGACACGTGGAGATGAGGGGGTTCACCTGAGGTTTGGGGGTGCCCAGGTGTTGCCCAGGTGTGCTCAGCTACCTGGTGATGCCGCGGTTCGTGGCCATGATCAGCACAGGCGCCATGTCGCTCTCCAGGGCGCGGTTGAGGAAGGAGAAGCTCTCGATGTCCAACATGTGAACCTCATCGATGAACAACACCTGGGGGGTTTTGGGGAGGCTCTTGGTGATCCTCAAGGGGGTTTTGGTGCTCTTGGTGATCCCCAATGGAGTTTTGGGGGTGCCCAGGAAGGTTTTGGGGGGTCAGGGCTTACCCCAGGGATGACCTCAGCCTTGCCCTCCTCACGCCACTCGGCCACTTTGGCGTTGATCTGCTCCCGCACCTCTGGCTTGATCTCACCTGTGTCACCTGGATTTGGGATTTGGGGAGGTCAGGGGTTGTTTTGGGGGGTCCCAGGTGCAGTTTGGGGGTCTGAGAGTACCCAAAAAAGGGCTCAGAACCCCTGGGGTGGATCAGATGCAGTATGGGGGCGCCAGGAGCAGTTTTGGGAGTCTGGGGATGGTCAAGAAGAGAACAAGGAAGCCCTGAGCTGGGTGAGGACAGTGTGGAGGATTTTGGGGTCAGTTTTGGGGTCTGAGGGTACCCGAGAACAGAGCGAGGAATCCCTGGGTGCGGGAGTTGATGACATCGATCTCGTGCAGCGACACCGTGTGAACGACCTCGCGCCGCTTCTGCAGCTCCCCGTCAGGGCACTGCACAAATTTCGTCTGGGGAGGGGGAGAATTCAGGAGGTCAGAGCCACCCCAAAACCCCCACTGCACCCCCCAGAAAACCCCCAAAAACCTCACCTGTGCCCCCATGGCGTCGTAGTCCCGTGCTCGGGTGAAGGAGCGTCCCAGCTTTGAGATCTTCCCTGTGGCTTTGTCGATTGTGATGACATCCCTAGGGAGGAAAATGGGGTATTTTGGTATTTTTTCACTTCTCACGTTTTCTGCCCTTTTTCCCCTGGCGTTTCCCGCCATTTTCTCCCCT